TATCTACATTAATTTTTAGAATTAACATTTTCTAGTATCGAACTTCTACATTTTCTTATCAAGGGATCTTTATCATAAAATATTTACCTTTTCAAATATGTCCTCCTTAGGTTAAGTAACAAATTATAATATTAATATCAAAGAAAAAAACAGAAACAAAAGAATGTTGGGTTTAGCTACTATTAGATTATTCAGCACTATGAGGTAGAGCTCATTTAAGCCACCTCCTTGTCCTTCTCTGTCAAGGTTATCATACTCTCTGAGTGCAATTGTGAACAGCATTCCCAAGTGCAGCCAGGTCCAGCAAGTACAGCCCTCCTTGACAGCAAAGTTGGCACCAGAAATCTGAAGACTTTCTGGTGTCTTAGTATCATGACCTTACCTGCCACCTTCCACTTGCTTTTCTGTTGTCGACACCTGTCCATCTTCTGACCCTACCTTTAGCATCTCGAAACTGGCCTCAGATGACCCCACCATTTGCCTCCCTCCCTGGGTAAATAGACACAGACCAGCATAGCTGTTATCCCGAGTCTCTTCCCAGACACCTGACCGAAACAGAGAAGGGTCATTGAAAGGCCATTTCCCCAATTTGACTAATCTGCTAGCTCTGGCAGATGACGATGTCGTTGATAGGTCTGGCAGCTGGGACTGAGAGAAAGATGGGAGAGTGGCGAGGTCAAATGGCTTGTATGGGAAGGGGAATTTGACCAATTGAAGACGGAAGAGTGAAAGTAGTGGGTGGGAAAGAGGGGAGGAGAATAAATGAAAGATGCCTAAGAGGAAATTGATATGACAACTGGGAACACATCTTAGAATATGTCTATAGGAGGACTGTGAAATTAGACTGCCTGCGTGTGCACTGTGGCTCCTTTACTTATATCTGTTAGACCTTGGGCAAGTTACTTAGCTTTAAGTCTCAGTTTCCTCATCTATAAAATGGGGATAATAATGTAACCACTTCATAGGGGTATTGGGAGAATTACATAAGATAAGAGGTAAAGAATTTAGAACAATGCATGCCACAGAGACATTAAAAAAAATATTAGTTTTATCATTATTGTTACTCTTATATACTTGTGGTAAAAATATCATTTCTATGCTAGCTAATTTCTAAAATTATATGAAGAGGTTTAAATACTATTGACTGACTAATGGAACATTTCTATCTCTTATTATAGGATTTATAAGCCAAAAATACTATTAAGATTGGTCAAAATAAATTTTCTATGGCAATACCACATCAGTCCCGTATAGTTTACTTTCTTTCTTTTGCCATTTGTACATTTCTGGCTTCAACATCTGCCTGCCACTTTCAACTTCTCTAGTACACACGAGTGTGGACTATTAGGAGACAACCTTGCCATTTTTAAAATGTAATGTTAACCTCAGTAGAAATTATAGCAAAGAATAAAACAACATGGATTTTTAACAGCCTTTTGTAAGAGTCATTAAGTTATAAAAACACTACCATCTGTAGCAAAGAATATCAGATTTGGCAAAAATTATTAAAACTTACAGATCAACCCTACTTTTTTTGTTTCTGTATTATGCTTTTCAGTTACAGGCCATTATTTTCCAAATATAACTTCTAGTTATCAACTTAAAGGTTGATCTGAATTTCCATGATTCTTTTTCTTCCATTCATCTACTCTTCCTGAGCACACAAACAGGCAATGAAATGCCTAAAATGTGTGAAGGAAAGAGAGAAGAAAAGAATCTCAGAAGTGAATGAGCAACTAGACCTGGAATAATTGAAAGTTGGCTGTAAGTGTCATATATTATTTTCTATGAGTAGTAAGTGAATTTTAGAAATACTTAAAACTTCGGGAGGCACTATAAATAAAAATGTATAATTGAAGTCTGTATTGATTTGATAGCTATTTCAGTTTTTTTTTCTTTTTCTGTAAAAAATACAAGTTCCATTTACCCAAGACCCAATGTCAAGTTAAATCAGGTAAAGATTCGGGATTATTGGATTAAATGAGGAGTCAGGAGCCACCATCTCCGGCAGGGGGGCAGCCAGCAAAGCTACTTCAACAGAACAGCAATCAGTCCTCTTGTCACTCGGGGAACTTAGAATCAATTGAGACGGGCATCAACCAGGGAGACGCAATTCCTTTCCAACCAAACAAAAATGTACTTGTAGGAAATGATCTAGAAAACAGACGATAGGAGACCTTTCCAATATATGATTTGGTAGAGAATAGGACTTCTGTATCTATGACCTCTGAGACATCTTTGCAGATACTAAAAAATACAGTGATGAATAGTGCTGACTCTAGAGAGCCTTTGAAAAACTCTTCCACTCTGGCTAAACGGTACATGTAGAATCCATTTTTCATATTCAGAATCCAGATTCTATGAATTTTTAATTTGAATGGGCTCAGCCAGCTGTAAGGACCTTACACAAAAAGGTGATTGCTTTTGGAAGCCCATGTTAGAAGAACACGGACCCACTATAATGTGGAATGCTTGTGTTTCTAGAACAGTGTGAACCCAGGGCCAGGGCTGACGACATGGGCACATCTCAGCTTGCCAGGGATGCTGTGGTGTGGGTGAGCAGGAGCTCTGTCATGGGCTGAATTGCGTCCCTCCAAAATTCATATGTTAAAGTCCTAACCCCCAGTACCTCTGAATGTGTGACTATTGGGAGATAGGGTTTTTAAATAGGTAATTAGGGTGGGCCCTAATCCAGTATGATTGACAACTTTATAGGAAGAGGAAATCAGAACACAGACATGCACAGAGGAAAGACCATGTGAAGACACAGGGAGAAGATAGCCCTCTGGAAGCCACAAAGAGAGCCTTCAGAAGGAACCAACTTTGCTGGCACCTTGATCTTGGACTTCTAGCTTCCAGAACTGTGAAAAAATAAGTTTCTGTTGTTAAAGGCACCTAGTATCTTGTTATGGCAGTGGGAGCAAACTAATACAAGTACTACTTGTAGTGGGACCTGGGAGACATCATTGGGTAGTCCATGTCTGCACTCAGGCAAGGTTGGTCCCTGCCACTAAGACCAAGTGCCCCTTCTACCATGGGGGAGGCGTCATTCTAAGAAGGAGGCTGGTGAGCAGTGGTTATTCAAGGGCCCTTAGAGTAGGCAGAGGTGAGAGGGCAGTGTGGGAAATGAAGGGATAATTTTAAAATCTTTTTTTCTGTTTTATCATTTTGTTTTTATAGGCTAAGGGCTAATTTTTTAAATAAAAAAAATCCTCTTTTGCATTCGTATTATAAAAGCTTTACATAACCATTGTAGAAACAATGGAAATACAGATGAAGAAAAGGAAGAGACAAAATATAACAGTGATCTCATCACTAGGAGGTAACTGTTCATACACTGTTGTAAATCTTTCCGGACTTTTTCCTATAAACACATGGATTTTTTACATCTCTCTCTATATAAAATGGAATGCTTAATTTTTTTTGTGATCATCTTTCTGTGTCAATAATTTTTAACTTATACCATCGTTTCTAATGTTTGATATTGTTTCATTATATCGATTATATCCTAGAAATAGAATTGGTGGGTGGGATGTGTCTAGGCTTAGGCATATGTAAAGACTTTTGATATATTTTGCCAAATTGCCCTCCAGAAAGGATGTACCCATTTATATTCAGCAAGTCTATTTTGAGTACAACATGAAGCCCCATCGCTGGTAACTCTTGACTCAGCTGCTCAAGGGCTTTCAGCCAAAATCCTAGGGAGGGGAGTGTGGAAACCAGAGGACACTGAAAATCTGTGCCACAAGTGACTCAGACGCTGCAAGTGGCTCGATGGAGGAGTGTCCAGTGTCGGTGGAGGAGGCATTTCCCACCTTAGCACGGCGACAGGTGGAAGGAAGAGCAGCTGAGGTGGGAGCTGCAAGCTCTGCCAGGAGGGGCCACATCGGGCCAGACACTAGGGGTCTATCGAAAAGCAAAGCCCCCACCGGTTGTAGAGAATGAAGAATCCCGAAGACGGGCTTGGGTTGCTAACTTGAGAGTGGAAGGGGTATCCCAAGGATCTCTGAGTAAGCTGGAAGGGACCCGTGGCTGCAGGGAGCCTGAGATCACTGCGATTATGACCCCTGGTTGTTAATCTTATCCCTTGGGCTTTCAGGGCCTGGGAAAATACAGGTTATTCTAGGGAATGAGAACAGAAGGACTGATAGCCTTTGCGGTTTTTATGCATTAATGGAAGATACTATTTGATTTTGGTTCTTTGCCCAGTATAAGAGATCCCAGGGGGCACACTTAAAAGGATAGCCAAGCTAATCTTAAATAAAAATAAAATGCTTTATTTTATAAACATGAAAATTATGTAGCACTCAATAAAATGGGCTGGCATGTAAACGTCTGCTATATAATATGACAAATAAAATAGGTTATTTCCTCTTGGAAGAAGAACTTGAATTTCACTTATCATTGGAAGACTTTGAAAGAACGTTCAACATGAATCTCTCTAAGGAAGATTAGCAGTGGTCTCTGACTTGGTGTTAGATGGAGCATGTGAGAAGGGGAAAGAGTACCTTCATTGTCGATCAGAAATGATCACCTTTAATAGTGTTTTAAGATATTCACATTCCTTCATAGTACTTAAAAAAAAAACCAAGAAAAATAAATAAATAAAATGAAAAAAAAATATTCACAGAGCACATGGTTGGGCCTTGGACTTCTACTGGTCAGACATAACATATATACCAGAAGGACAGTCACACTGATCTTATATGGATCTTGTCTGAGAAATAAATATGTTGTAGCTAGGAGTGAAGAATTCACAGGATTTTGTTTGGCTTCTTCGAAATGTAGATTTAGCTGCCAACGTTGTTTCCGAAAGTAAACTTATGTTCTGTACCTTTGCCCAAGGCAATGACTACATTTCCAATAAAACAAACAAACAGCTCTTTCCCTGGGGTTGTTCCCTTCTATCTTCAAGTGGTATCATGGAGAATTAATTACTTCATAATCTCACGCACGACAGCCGATCAAATTAAAAATGGTTATGGAAAAACGGGGCTTACCGTCTATCACTGGTTTGGGCTGAGAACTTTTGAGGCGCAGCGAAGGCCGGAAGCGGGTTCGGTCGTTGAAGCTCCAGCTCTTCTGCACTTTGGTGGGGCTGCCCTCGGCTGTGATGTCGGTGCTCGGGGACCTCCTGTCCCCTACTGAGGCTTGTCGGCTCTTAATACTCTGGCCCCTCGGGCTAGCCATGCGCACTCGCTCCTTAAAACTTAGCTTCTGACTGTGGAGGACAGAGGCAGGATTATCGCATTTCAAGCAATTTCTTCCACTCCACTTGGGTAAATAATTTGAGGAAATTGTATATGGTCACATATTTCAATGGACAAAAGGTTTTCAGCAAGTAGGAGCATTGTAATGTATTTTTCCCATATTGAAAAATTGAGCTTTATTTAATCTCTATGCCTGAATTCGTTTGAGATCCGTCTCATTCTACAGGTTTACACGCCCTCCTTGGATTCATCACAGAAAGGACTGACACCAGCAGTTTGTACACAGTTACACTGGAGATAACCAAGAACTGGTTTGGAATTCACTTTAAAAATGATTGAGTGATTTTAGCTTTAACTTTAACTTTTGAGATTTTAAAAAAAAGCTATTTTTTTTTTATTTGGGAGCATATCTCTTTGTAATTTCTAAACATTTCTACAGGAAAACAGGGATGACAGTTACATATATACCTACATCCAGCATGCATTTTTATATTCCAGGCAAGGTTATGATATCAATACATTCATGCAATCTCATAGCAGTTGGTAGCACTGCATACATAATATTAAACATACAACACTTAACGTTACATTTCTTTTATGCTTAGATTCATTCTCACGAGACAAAAACACCACGCAAGATAGAACAGCCCCAATATATAATGAAGGTGATGACTGGTTAACACAACGAGATGTTATGTTCACTAACACAATTTCCTGCTATAAAACAGGTTATTGATTTGCTGTGGCAGCTACTGGTAAATTATATTTGTTCAGGCATTCAGTTCTCTGATGCCAGCTAATACCGAATTGTTGTGGGCTGATAAAGGAAGCATCAACAACGACAAAATCCAAAGTACATCTTCACACTCTCCTAATCAAGAGATCTGGTATGATGTGCTGGGAAGGGCAGGTAGGAATCGGACGTGGGTTTTGGAGTCCTCCTTTCTCACATAGAGATAAAAGCAGCAACATAGCTAAGGGATTTTTGTGGGACTCAAATGAACTGCAAAAAGTTTTGTGTGCCCATTTCGTTTGTCTTCTTGTTTCACTGTTTCTTGCTATTCATTAGAAGGTGACACTGTCATTAATGTGACAGGCCCAGGACTCTGCAGGGCCTGGAGACATGACGGGGGTCTGTGGGGAGTGGGGTACAAAGGCAGTATTCTCACAGATAAGGCTCATCTGAGATGCAGTGGAGGCCTTGGCTTTTCCACTTACCGCAATGTCCACTGTCCCCAACTGCAGCATGCCAACAGCAAATGTGTTTAGTGGATATGTGTTTTGTAGCTAACAAGAAACAATAACATTTATTTTTCCATGCCTAGTTGCTTAACAAATGATATTCTAAAAAGGCACCACGTTTTTATGTGTGTTTACATGAAAACAAATCAAGTCATGATGGTAGAGTTCTGGAAACAATAAACGAATTGACCATGCAACTGACAGCCCCCCTCTGAAATGCAGACACAGCTAAGTCTGGCACGGCTAGGGGAAGGCACATGCAAAGGACAGGCTGGGCAGTTTTGTGATGAGGTCAGGTGGGTTCAAGGGTTCTTGACAACAGTCCCAATTAGTCGAAGGATTTATCTGTACTTGACAAATGTGTGATTAATTGACAGACCACGTGAAACAAGAGCAACAATAACATCATAAAACTGCATCTTACTTCTCAGGCTAGGTTCTCTATGTCATCCAAAAGCCTTCAATTATTTAAACGAATCCGTCAAAGGGATAATGCCCAAAATGTATACTTTTCTCAAGCTTTTTTTTTTTTTAATTGTAAAAAATTCAAATCTCTTTTTAGCTTCAACACATCTGTTCCATAATTTAAATTTATGATCTGGTTCAGGAAGCATATGTTCGCTTCTGCACCTTTATTTAGATTAATGAATGGCTCAAGTTGACATAGCTATCATTACAAGTGTCTTCACTATACTTAATCTTATCTATTATTTTTTATGGAACTAACAGATGCTAGTTACTATAAAAGGTTGGGTTTAGTTCATAGCAAATCATCTCCTCAAACTTTCAAGATACATCTTCTTCCTATGCCAACAAAATAAACAAGAAACTGATAAAAACATCATAAAAACCACTTAATTATATTTTTTCCTTTTGAAAAATTTCAATTACTAAAATTGGTAAAATATAAATATAAAAGGTAAAAATATCTAAAATAAAAGTACTAGCATGCAATCCATCACAGTTTATTTACAATAACAAAACATTTTAAAAATTCCTCCTATGAAAATATTTTTAAAAAATGCCTCTATGAAACATTTAGACATTACCCCTATGAATTAATGGAAAGTGGGAATAATATTCTCTGAATCTCAGTACCATTTAAAGCACTTAAAGTTGATATATTAATAAACAAAGACTAGGTACCATTTCCCTTTTTGTCCTTCTAAACTACATGGATATTTGCTAATATCTACTATTTAAAAAAATTCTCAAGAATTATTTTAAAATAAACTCAGCATAGCACACTCTAAATTTGAAAAAATTATAATGTTTTCACTTTCTCTTTTTACGTAATTGTGTGATAGTTAAGAATAAAATGCTAATCCAGAACTTTTGAGCAGACAAAATTTTCTTTTCCAAGAAAAAGATCTGTTCTCGTGTCCTCTTACAAAAAACTCATTTTTATTAGTTTTTCTACTTTGTTTCCCCTTTGAAAATCAACAGAGTGTCTTGATTAGAAGACTATTAAACTGATTAGGTGGCTGTTAATTGAAAACACACATTGATTAAAAATATAGACTCTTCACTGGTACACTAAAGTTTTCATTATTTTTCTGCTTTTTTTTGGTGACATCTATAAACACGATTTTTGAGGAAGATTTATGTAACAGTGTTTTTAGGAAGAGATTGCCAAAGATTATCCTCAGGAGACCAACAGGGAGGTCTCTCTTGAGACAAAGTAACCAAAAGGTCGCTGTTGTAGTCATTGATTGGAGCATCTTTTCTACTATGCAGTCCCACATTCCCAGCTGTGGGCCATGCTCAAAAGAGCCTGCACAGCCACTCTGCAAGGGAGTTCTCCCCTCTCTAGGAACCAGATGTACCAGTTAGACAAGTGGCCCAGCATGCAGCCTACTACTGAATTGTGCCTGCCAGGGAACCATGTGGCGTCATCATAACCCCACAGTAATACTCTAGGGCTTGGAATGCTGTAGTTATTGTTATACTTAATTAGGGTTTTAGCCCTTTATAGGATAAGCACTTTGCAAATTCTCGCCTCAGGCACAACATGGCAACTGAAGCCATCACAATCCAGGGCGTGCAGCAGCTCAGCAGTTGTCCAACCACAAGGAGGCGCCAGAGGGCTGACTGCCAATGCTAACGCGGGACGCTGCCTGTTTGAACCAATGGTGGAGAGAATCAAAGCAGGCAACAAGCAACAAGGAAAATTACAAGCGGGTTGAAAACCTCATTCAAGAAATCCCTAAGAAGAGTGAGTCTCTGAACAGGGCTCAGGTGGGGTGGCCGTGTAACCTGATCATGCACCTGAGGTTAGTTGGCATTCTCAAATCTCATGTCAGTAGCTGAGATGCTGGGTACCTCTGCTTCCGTGAGGTGTACATTCTGAAGAGCTTCTGCTTATCACTATAGAACTTACTAGGAGTGAGGGAAATAGAGCAGCACATTACTAAGTATTTCACCACCAGGCAAGTACTTAGGGAGCTTTTCTTTCTTTTTATAAAAACAAGGCCATTTGGCTTTATTGTTTTTCACTTGTAAGTACACAGACTATTTAAGCAGTGAGTACTATGTAGTTTAATTGTGCTGCTTGAAATATATCCAGTGATCTTAATGGTTAGGTTGAAATAATTGGATTTGAAATAGGCATTACAAATGCTGGTAGTCTGTGTTAGCATCTGTTTCATATCGAAATAAGAATATAAATTTTTAGACTATAGTTAACCTCTGTCATAAACATCAATACAACATAGTATAAATGATTAAAGAATAAAATATTTTAAAACTTTTAATAATAAATATTTACAGAGATCAATGAAGTAGGTAACATTAATTGCTTTGAAATTTAAAAACATGAGTTCTGGATTTGTGTGAAACACCTGTAGTTATAGTTAATATAGGTAACAGATCATCAGATGGAATACATGTTTGACAAAACGGAAGAAACGATTCTAGGTTGTTAGTTTGTAAAAAAAAAAAGTACATTTCTTATTTTAAGTCTTATGATGTGTTTTTAAAAAACTAAATCATTTCCCCTCTATCAATACATGTGAGCAGAAGGAGAGACCATTTTGAAAAGATTGTTTTTGAAACAAGCTAACATTTTGCCAATAAGGACACAAGTTGACTATGCTGGAAAAAAAATAAAGTCTAGTTTTCTTGAGTTTAATAACACATGCAGATCATTCATGGCACACAGAAGAATGAAAATGCAAATAATGGAAAATAAATGCAGAAGAAATACAAGAACACAGTCTTTTCCACCAGTGTTCTAGAGTTTTCTCCCGAGAGCCACACACTGCCTCAGAACCTAATAAAGCCAACCACGCAGGAGCAGTTCAGACAAAGCACTCAGTGGCTCTCAGCACAAGATCACACTGTAATAAAAGAATGTCATTTGTGCCTTCATTTTCAAGACATGCATCTTTATCTTCCAGGTACCTGCTAAGGCATCTTTAGATAGTCTACTGTCTACAAAGTCTAAAAGGGTTCTAGTAAGGCCAATTAAGGCAGTTTAACTATGAAGCAGGTATACAGCCAACCATTGCTGAGTAAGAAGACAGGCTAAGCAGAGGCAGTGAGATTTATGGACAATGCCCAAATCTCAGATGGTATAATCTGCTTTTGTTAGGTAGAAAGAAGGAAAAGCCCTTTTGTACCAATGTGATGGCTAACTGACCACTATTTCATAACCTGGTCAAGGAGAAAGAGAACACAACACAGGAACTTCAAGGTGAGAAATACTGCGTTAATCTGGCCAGATGGGTTCACAGGTAAATTTTATTCTCTGAAAATGCCGGTTTACACCAAAAATAGAGAAAAACCTGTCCAGTTAAAAAAAATAGTTGGAAAAATTACTTCATTGGCTAATTAATTAGAATAAAATAAATAAACACATTTACCACCACACATACGAGATTAGAACTGTTTTAGTGGGAAGATAGAGGAAAAGAAATGAGTAATTAAATGATGCTAAAAAAAGTTGTATTTATGGTCTAAGTAGAAGAAGAACAGAGCTGGCTCAGTTGAGACTAACAGTGATTTGTACCTGAATCTGAATGAAAGAGAACCAAAGAAACGTTATTTTCACTATTGCTCAGTTGAGCTACATTTAAAAAGCTCTTCTGGAGACTGATGGCTTGTATTTTTAAAGAAAATTTTTAGATCTGTAGCAAACAATGAGATATTGTTCCTTAGTCGAAAACATAGTAGACAAATTTTGTTTAAACATACCCTAACCTCATTGTAGAAAGACAAAATCTTTTCCTTTTAACGAGGACATTCCAAAGCAGGGAACATAGTTAATTAAGGATTATATGAATGTGCTTGACACCTTAATCCATTCTGCAGAAAGAAAAGCCACTCTGTGTGTGGTCTTGTCTACAGTTGTCGGAATAGAAGTGCTGGCTGTTGTGTTGAACTCATCTACACTTAGGCTACTCTCAGTTTTTAACACTAAGACAAACCACGAGGAAGGATTTAGGAGATTCCAGGTTCCAAGATATCTGAGAAATAAAAAAGTTGGCTTTTACTTGGGCTGAAGCTTGTCTATTCTGCTTATCTGAATTACCATCAATAACTCAATGGCCCCAAGGGTAGTAAAAGACTGCAGTTGGGCGGTGTTAATCGGTTCATTTGAAATGGAGTCAAGCACTAATTAACAATTTTCTGGACCCAGATCTGCTCTTCTCTAAGGGATAACTCCCACTGTAAATACATTTTTCTTTGTGCATATTTTGCTTGGGTAAGGACAAATTTGTTATTTTCTAAGATAGGACGGTTGCTATTGTTATTATGATAGTCTTTCTGCATTCATTATGCAGTATGATAATTCTGCATATAGAGCACAGCAAGGTGAAAGCTAAGGTAACATTAAAATGGAAGCTTCTGCTTATTTCCTTTAGATTATTGCAATGTTTTAGTGATTATTCATTTTCTCTCTTTTTATATGTCTCCTCTTTTCTCATTTTTCTTGGTGTTTATCTCTCTTTGCATAAATTATTGAGGTCAGGGACATTTTACCACTCTATCCAAGAATTATTTATCAAGGACATTCTCAGTTCTAGCTTTTTCCACAGGGGATGTGATAGAGAGTTTGGGGATAGGAAACCTAAGTGTATGAAGAACTTACGTGAGGTATCCAGGTTAAGTCATAGTACAGGACTTGTTTCAAGGTGGCTTTTGCCAAATGTCTAAAGACCACAAAGAAGCAAGAAATTTCTGCATGTGATTCTCTACGTCAGAAACCCAGGGCAGTGGTTCTGTACGTATTCAAACCTATGGGTGAGTTATCTTCCGACAACCTCAGCCACAACCATGCTGCATAGATTCAAATGTTTTAGATATATGTGAATATCATAACATTTAGAAAATTTGGTTGGTAGTTTTTTTGAATTGTGACAGCTGACTGGGAGGCTCATTTTTGGACTGGTGAGCAGAAGCCCAATGGGGACATTTTAATTTTGTCTTTGTTTTCTGCCATGTTAACATTGAAAAAAGGTGCGATATCATTGTGTCAGCCCAAGGTGACCCCTCACCCAGGATGGCCTCAGAGGTTACACTTATTCAAGCACCTCCACATGACTTACTAATGTCTCCTTTGGGTATCAACAGCTTTATTTTGGAGGATGAAACCAAGATAGGCCATCTTACTCTCAAGTGGCTCTGAAGTTAATAGATAATCTCTGTCTTTAGGATTTGGAGACAAACCACCCTTCGAGATAATTTGTAGATGGAAAGCTCTGGAGTCAAGGAAAGCTTTTCAAATATCACCAAAGAAATTAAACATAGCTTATAATGGCTATGATTTATTTTGTGTAACTTTTTCAAGTAAAGTCACAACAAAAAAATGGTGGGATCTGCATGGAATCTAGAAAGATGACTGAAGGGTTAGAATTGGTCACCTTGCCTCTTCTAGTATCTATGGAAAGAATATTCTGAGTCTAATGACTAAAACCACTCTTTGTTAAAAAAATATCTCTAAAGTGGAAAAGAGCAACTCTTTAGGCAACTAAAATGTTCTGGAAGTATCATGAAGGGATATCCAGTGCCCTTGGCTCTAACTCCATAGCTATCAAATAAGAGAAGAATCTTTATTTATTTATTTTTTAAAATTTTTTATCTTTTTCATGTTTTTAAAAAATAATTTAATATTCTTTTAGCTTTTTTTTTTTACTCATTGCCCGTCTTGTTCTGGATGTAGAGAAGAATCTTTAATGCCATGCCCTGAGTAGGCTTACCTAATCAGAGGAGTGCCTGATGCTGTAAGTCCTACCATGGCTATTTCCCATCATAGGTGAATGCATTTATGTTTGGATTTGTGAATTTTTTTTTTTTTTTTGAGACACAGTCTCACTCTGTTGCCCCAGGTACAGTGGAGTGGCATCATCATAGCTCACAGCAACCTCAAACTCCTGGGCTCTAGCGATCCTGCTGCATCAGCCTCCCGGGTAGCTGGGATTACAGGTGCATGCCACCACGCCTGGCTAATTTTTTCTAATTTTGGTAGAGACGGGTCTTACTCTTGCTCAGGCTGGTCTCGAACTCCTGACCTAAAGCGATCCTCCTGCCTCAGCCTCCCAGAGTGCTAGGATTATAGGCGTGAGCCACCACACCTGGCCTGTCTTTTAAAGCACTAACTTAATAATAAAATGGATACCCTCTACCCCACATGAAGTTTTAAAAATAATTTCAGTACTGCATAGATGCATTATAATTAATGTCATTATTATAACAGTACAGAGCTGAAGGAACAATCCCTGGACCCCCTTGGCCACCAGTCGGGGCAGGTGGATGCCTTCATTTCCTTTCTACTGCAACAAATGGCAATGACGGGGGAAAAAACTTGTGTCCGTCCCTTCTTCCCTTCCAGGCGCCTGGGATCCTCCTGCTACTTCTGTCTCTGCCATTCCTCACACCTCAGTGCTGGGTTCTACCTGGCTCTGTTTTTCAGGGCTTTGCTCCCCAATCCAGCTCCTTCCTGGTACTCATTCCCACATCAAAATTTTCTCTTTCATCTCCTATTTCCTATTTCATTTCCTATCCCCAGAGGAGCATTTCCATCAAAGACATGAAAGAATCACTATAATTATTTGGAGAATTTGGGGGAGGGCTACCTTAAAGGATGGGGGAAGAACCTCTTCTTTTGAATCAGATCACCTGAGTAAACCTTAGCACTCAATGGGTTGGAGACGTCACAGAGAGATGGTTTTCATCTCCTGTACACAGTATCCTCTTAACAACAACAACAACAAATATATATATATATATATATTTTACTTCCAAAGAAGGACCTGAGCCTATAACATCCAGGAAAAAAATTCCTTTATTATATTCTCTGGGTTACTTAATTCGAATACTTGGATAAGATTCTGTCCGGAAAAATAGCAATGGCAGCAAGGACTAATCAAAGACTATAATTATTCCACCCCCCTCCCTGAATATTCCATGCTCTGCAGATTGTAAAAAAAAAATCTGTGAGAGAGTTATGGAAAGACACTTTCCTCCCAAGAGAGAAAAAAATAATCAATAAAGTAACAACCTTTGCAGGCAATCTTGTGAAAGGTCACTTTTAATCATCTTGCATTTGTTGATCGATTTTATTCACATGAGACACATTTAAAACATCTGTTAGGCATTAGATTTATAAACAAACAGGTAGCAAAACAGAAATCACAAACCTGCTTGATGCTTCCCCTTGTTCTTTCCTTCAGGTGCGTGCAGACAGAAGAGAAATGATGATAAACTGGTGAATACATTTATCGCACTTGATAAGACCAAATTGGAAATTGGGGAATCAAGTACCTTAAGTAACCCTTTCCAGGCAAGATCCACAAAAGCAATATTCTTTGGAATAAATGTACCCAACTTTTTCACGGGTTCCTTGTGGCACAGACCTGAGATAGCACAACATTTCCTTTGCAAAGCCAACTCTAGTCACAGGTTACCAAAACCTATAGACTCTTCATGAGCCAGTTATCCATGGTTAAGAGAAAGTGATTCTCATCTAACCGGCATCAGCAAAGACTCTTACAATGTTATCGGTTACAATGTGGACATAGTGCCTGTGCTTTAGGGAGACTTTTGGGTTTCTAAATCTAGATTCATTATTGTGTGACTGGGGTCTGTACCTCAGTCACTTGTTGAGGCAGATTTTTTTTTTTTTTTTGTATTATATGAACTATGAATTCCTTTGGAATAAATAAGGTACATAGAAAACCTATTGGAACTCTTTAAGCTTACTGTTGGGGTGGCATTTTTTTTTCTTTTCTGTTTTTTTCCTTTTTAAGCCAGGTGCTTGGGCAGATGGGGTGGCATTTTTAATAACTCATTTTTAGCAAATTTAGGTCTAGGCATCGTGGTGTGGAGCTCCTACTCTTTGCAAATGAGCTGTGTGCTGCTGGGCAGGCACCTTACTTTCTTGTGGGTCTTGGTTTTCTTACAAGTAAATCGAAGGCATTGGGCCAATAATCTCTAAATCCTGACTTCTTTTTTTTTTTTTTTTTTTTTTTTTTTAAATCCTGACTTCTTAAGGTACCACATGGCATCCTTGGAGCTTGATAATTCCTCATAGCTTCATAAGATATCTCACTCATTCCCTAAAATGCCATATTTACCTATCTTTCACCCTTTGCATATACTTCACGCTCTTTGAAAAGAAAATCAATGAAAATATTTCCCTCCATAAATCATTCTGTCATTAAAACAAAACTTTGAAATAATAACTGCTAAAACCTCTGACCTGCTTGTGAGAGACAATCCAGCCCTGAGAAGAGAGAGTAATAAATGGCTGGGTTGCATCCCTGGCCGGTTTGAATGTGTCCGGCAGGCTCTTGCCCCACACCTCTCTCCTGCATGGTTATTTCCTAGAACTCTCTCCCATCCTGTTCCCTGGGAGCAGTCAAAGCTTACCATTGTATCTCTAAAACTATGGGGAGCAAGAGCGTGGGCTTGGTGCTTTTTAATGAAAACAACCCCAGTGATGATCGTGATGATGGCGATGGTGGTGATAACACAATCTTTTCCCTGACCACCTATTTAAAATTGTAGCTCCTGATGCTGCCTTAAATTCCTTCCCTATTTTACTTTTCTCCTTAGCATTTATTGTCATCTAATCTATTCTATATTTTAGTTTAAAAAAATTTTTATTGTCTATTCCCAGCATCCCTTGAATACATACTTCCTGAGGCCTGAGATTCCAACTTCTTTGTCTTTTTTCTCTGACTGCATTCCCAGTGCCTAGAACAGTGCCGTGCACACAGGAGGTGCTCAATGAATACTTTTTGAATGACTACATGAATGAATGAATGATCTTTCCCCTCAGAAGTTCTTAGGCTTTGAATGCTACAGGGAGATACACTAGGTAAATCAAAAGAAGTTTTTGTCTGTTTCTTACTATATCGCTTTGCATTCAGCAAGCCAGCTAGTTATAAATGTAAAAACATCCCTCTAAGTCATTATGAATTATTTTCTTCACAGACCTGCAAACTGGATGAAAGCAGGTTTGCTTTCTAAAGCAAAGGTTCTGAGCTTGGCTTCAGGGAGTCTGTGAATACATCAACATTGTAGGCAAATTTTTGACTTTTTTGTGCATCAAATATTGCTCTTGGGAAAGAGCCCATGATTTCCATCACATTCTCACTGGCTTAGCAAACAATAACAACAACAACAAAGATTAAAAACCATTGCAATCTGAAACAATGAAGCATCGCTAGAGGAAGAGGTGTTAAGTCATCCAGGTTCCCATGAATTTTATCAGTGACTGCTCTGTCATTCCGGACAATAACTGCTCTTCAGTAAGTGGGGCTGAGCCCAGAGAACAATGAGCTTGCAGGGAAAGGAGAGTGAGGGGAAGACTGACAGGTACTGTGGGACAAGATGCATGCAGGTATTGGCATAAATCCCCCTCCACCTTCACCCCCACTTATCACAGGGAAAATATCAGAGGAAAAGAAAGAAATCATGTAAGTAAATTAATAGTTGATTTACTGGGAGAACTTGACTCATCATTAAATAGTTTTTCCAGGCTTCCGAATGACTTTTCATCCAAAAACTGCATAAGTGGGAAGGCAAATAATCACATATGATAATAGACTACTCTAGTCTTTCACTTGAGAATCCTCTATAGGTTTGCCTACTAATCTTCCTCTTACATTTATCTAGCAAACTTTATAAAGACAAGGAATACAATTCTATATAATTCTCATTTTTGATTCATACCCTTAAGGAAAAAGTTGTGCCCCCTATTTTAATACCAAAACTTTGAAAGAGTCTAATATTCAATAAAAGGGATACAACTCAATTTCAAGATCTAAATGAAAAGAAGATTCTAACCCACACGTGCACTCAACATTATCCGTGCTTCTGTCCTTGCTAAAGTTCCATCCTCTGTAGCATCCCGAGATTCTGTGAATATCTCTGTCCCAGGTGCTGACGGGGTTTTAGACACCAGCCTCTAGGAGACATGTCCCAATAGAGCTTAAGAATCATCTTGCCCAGCTCTCTTGTTCTTCTCTTTGTGGATGGAAAAACCGAGGCCCAGGCAGGACGGGGAAGCAACATAAGGAATCCTGCTAGTTAATGACAGATCTGCTGCTTCTGACAGTGTGCATTCTGCTGCGTTGCCAATTTCCATTAAGACGGCTACGCCAGGGAATAAGTCTTGAAGATCTCCCCAGTTTGTATCCTGTCCAGATCAGTAACAACAAAGTGGTTTTCCTGAGTCATGATATGACTCAGGGTGCCTTGAATCCCATGAAGCCACTAGGATTAAGGTTTTGTTGGGCTATGATGGAAAAGAGCTGGTATTCTAAAACACTAAGTCAGATGAGCATTTTAATAACTTTTGAGCAACCTGAGAAACTGACTATTCTAATCAAGCTGGATGACTCACAGAAAGCCTTTCTTGTGACTTACTTGCTTTGGTATTTCAGTGAGGACTTCTTTAATTAGATGGTGATTATGATTTAACATGTGCTCTGCTAGTTGAACTTGGAGTCCAGGATTCCAGGACTAAGGGCTTTTTCCCACTTTCTTGTTTTTTTAAATTATTTATTTATTTTTGAGACAGAGTCTCATTCTGTTGCCCTGGCTAGAGTGCCGTGGCGTCAGCCTAGCTCACAGCAATCTCAAACTCCTGGGCTCAAGTGATCCTCCTGCCTCAGCCTCCCGAGTAGCTGGGACTATAGGCATGTGCCACCATGCCCGGCTAATTATTATATTATTAATTATTATATAGCTAGACAACTAATATATATGTGTATATATATATATATATATATATATATATATATATTAGCTAATTTCTTTCTATTTTTTTAGTAGAGATGGGGGTCTCACTCTTGCTCAGGCTGGTCTCGAACTCCTGAGCTCAAATGATCCTCCTGCCTTGGCCTTCCAGCATGCTAGGATTACAGACATGAGCCACCACACCTGGCCTGCTTTTTTTGTTTTTTTAAAGTTACAGATCACTATGCTAATCATTAGGACTGTTCATAATGTTTTTGGTTCTCCCTTTCCTCTAGGCTCATGGTAGGATTGCACTTTTCTATCTCCTTTGAGTCCAGGCATGGCTGGGTGATTTACTTTGGCCAATATAATGGGAATAGTAGCAATATTACTTTTAAATTTTGAATGCTAATTCCAAATTTTAACCTGATTGATCCCACTGCCTCATTGTGAACTGTAGTACTATCAAGACCCTGATCCTTATCCTCTTTTGCTACTGATATTTCATTTGATCTGCAAGTGAAAGCCTGAGGACCACCCCATAAAGGGGTGCAGATGTGAAATGATTTTGAGAGGCTTAAAGTGCAAAGATATACTTCTCTCAGAGCATTCTCCTTTTGGGGTCAGGTGATGGGTGGAAGAAAAATGATCCTTGTTTTTTGAAGAACTGTAGTGCTTACTTTTAGAATTGCGGTGAGATTTATAAAATTAGATATTAGAAAAGAAGCAAGAAATAGTAGGGGCAAATCTCTATAAAAGTTTATGTTCTTTCACTCTTTAATCCCAGTCTGTTGATTGTGAGAAATGACACTGATTCCATTAAGTTTCCTGCCTGAATTGCTACTATACAGATTTGAATCTCTCTGAAAGCAACAGAGAATAAGACAAGCCAAAAACTGACACTTTTTTTTGTGCGTATGGTTTGTTTAACAAACTCGCAAAGACTCAACTACAGCACCAGCTGTCACACTGATACCTACTTGGTAGGGCTGCAGGTGTGCAAGGCCTTCAAGTGTGGCTTCCAGGTTGCAATGGAAACAGATTTCTCATCAGCTGCATAACTACGCCAAACACACTGCATGTGGCATACATGGGGACATAAAAAAGAGAAACAAAAGAAAGCGGGAGATAGAATGAAATGAAAGGAAGATTATTAAGTTACTACACATTAAAAAATCTTTTGCTTGTTATACTTAGCCCTGATAAATACTCAAGGCAGGAAAAACATGACTTTGGTATTTTCTGCTGGTTATTAAACATATTCAATCACATCAGAATGGCTTTTCAGAACAACTCACACCAAAAACTAAAGGTGCTAAAAAGTATAACATAATGCAGTTTTTGAAGGTTAGGGAAAGATATTATATTACCCAAAACAAGAAAAGTAATGATTGACTGGTTCAATAAATATCGATGTCTAAGATACTAATTAGATAAACTACCTGAGCATGAACATTCATTCCAGGGATTGATCTTTAATCAGTATTTGATAAGATAGAGGCAAAGGACTACTGAAAATCCACTATGCAAATAGTAAACTAACTGGTACACTAATGATCACCAGGCTATGTTTATAATTTAATTAATGAGATCCCTGAAGTTGAACTATATGCAACACTTTCAATGCTAAAAATCAAGATAGAAATAACTAGAAGCAGAGCTAAAACAAGATAGAGAGAAATGTATTCTTTAGAAATACAACTGGAAAGCACCTAAGGATTTAAAGTCATGATCCAAGAATATATTTATAGCTCTTTGATGTAAAACATAAGCTCTGTCTATTTCATAAAATTACAAAGTATTTTTATGTGATCCTCATAATCAAGTGTGGATTAAGACTCTTACCTTGTAGATGAGAAAATAAAGGCTCAGATAAATGGAGCGGTTTAAACAAGGTTGGTGGAGTTGAGACAATATCTAAATTGCCTGGCTCTTGGTCATAGAATCCCTCCACTGAGATTTTTGCTGACTGCTTGAAGATTGTTGTTGGAAAAGCTTCCATCTGAACTGTTCATTTGAGAGATTGCTTGAACTTACTTTCCCATATAGATTTTGGTAAATTTCTTCCTTTGTAATGAGTTTGCAGACATCTCTAATGACCAAGCATTCATTGCAGTCTCCTCAGGGAAAAATTTTTATTATGATTCATTAATCAAAGCATTCTATTTTATGTGGCAAGTCCATTTAAATGGGTCATATCCCTACTATATAACCATCAGTCATGATTTTGAAACCTACAATGAAGAAAAAGTGATCTAATGATATTGCGTTTCCTGAGAATATCATTGAATAAATGTGTGCTGGATAAAAGAGCTAAAAATTGACACAACTACTTCAGAAGACTGTATGGCAATATCTATTATTTTAAGGCTGAACACATACATATCCTAAGATATAGCTATACACTCTTAAGTATATATGAAACAGATATGCTTATTTAGGTTTACCAAAAGATATGTTGGTTTCTTAATAAACTAAAGCTGAAAATGCCCAAACCTATCAACAGTAGAATAAATAGAAAAGTTGTGGTATATTCACATGATGGAATACTACATGGCAATAGTACACTATAACTACACTCAACAAAATGGATGAACTTTATATGAATAATATTGAATAGGGAAAAACAAGACACAAAAGAGCACCTTTCCATAAAAGACAAAAACCAGGGAAAATGAATCGATGCTCTTAGAAGGTAGCACAGTGGTTATCCTTGTGGGATGGTGATTGAGAAAGGGAATATAGGAGGTTATGTTCTGTTTATCTGAGTGCTCGCTAAGCAGGAGTGCTCAGTTTGTTTAGGATATGTGCTCTTTTCTGCATGCACATCACACTTCAGTAACATTTCAGGAAGTGATATAAAAAAACTAGAGAAACGTATAGTAGGACATGAAGGCTTTTTATATTTTTAAGGAAGGTTTAAATGATTGAAGTAGGGTTCTTGCCTGGAGCCTTCCTTACATGTTCATGTTGATTTAATCTGTGGAAATTTGTGCTAAGCATCTTGGCATCTTATGGAGAATAAAGCAATTATCACCATATATCTTGAAATGTTAGTTTTTACAAATATTATACATATACAACTTATAGAGTGATCTAGAATAATCAATAAAAATGCATGGGTTTATTACTGTGGCTTCATCTGTAGCAGTGAGGCCCAGAGATCCTCCAATGCTACAGGGGCATAGAGAGCTGCCTTAATCACACAATTTCCATAGACGGCATCACATGTACATGAACTCTGATATTTTGAAAGCAAGACTCATTAGAACTAGAAGAATATTAACAGGTCTGTGCATTATTAGATACCAGTGAAAAAAATCCAAAACAATACAACAAGAAATGGGACCAAGGCATTACCTGTTAATGTTGTAAAGAATTGGGGGCAAAGGAGGCTAATCTGAGAAAATTGAAGATTTTCTTTATAATGACACCTGGCTTCTTGCTCTTTTCTATCAAATTGATCTCAACAGCTAAGCTCTTATTCCCTTTATTACTCCTTTTAAACATGCCTTGGAAATGAGAAGTAAAGAAGGTGCAAGTGGCATCTGTCACAGGGCTGACGTTAGTTAACAAAGTGAAAGTGGAAAGTGTAACTCCATTACTCTTATACTCTGATAACTTTGTCCTGTCCTTAGCTCTCTCTCCCAGCTAATTGCTTCTAGTAGCTGAATTTCAAGCCCACATCCATATGATTCAGTGCTGATGTTCCTATATTTAAAGCCAAAATCACATAGTGGTTGGCAAGAGAAAAATAACACCTCAGAGGGATTTCCTATGGTTAATTTACATGGAATATATACTCCAAAGGACAAGTCAACAAGAAGCAAAATGAAAGCCAAATTCACCCTTTCTCAGGTGCTGCTGGTGCTCTAGGCAGCCAAACAGATTAGAACTTTGGCCCATAATGATAAGTGCAATGTCAGAATAATTCAGTTTTTAGGGAGTATTCAGTTTGCATTGTCTGGAGTATGACAGCTATGGCATGTTTGACCCTTTCTGGAAATGGCCCAGAAAGTTTGAGCTGACCATTGAAAGGTATAATTAACATGGAGCTTATTTTTTCAAGGTATATAACTTAAAATGTCAGAGTTCTGAAAGATTTAGGATATAAACCAGCAATCCCTTTCCCCATCTCTCTTCACACTGATGTTTTTTCCTTAGAAGCAACCCCTTCAATTCTTATAGTTGTTGCTTCCATTTTTAAGAATTCTTATTTTTAAAGGCTTATGCTCATACATATATTTCTTGATTTTTCAATTTCAGGCATTATCAATTAACTTCCTACTATGAAAGATAATGACATAGCCCACTTACATAGCCCTCTTCCTATGCTCTTATCCTTCCAACATTTTTATATCACAATTTTTAATTAGGGTGCTATTTAGCGTTTGTATTACTATGACCATGTAGTATTATTGTTCCCAGCTGAGCAATGCGATGTATGTACTCTGGCTACTGTTTTCCATATAATTTTTTTGAGTTGTAATATTATTGCCCTATTTTAATTTCTTGATTTGCCTATATATACCTACTATGAGTATAGTCCTGATCTCTCCAACAGAACTATAAAATTCTTCTAGTCAAATACATCATTCGATCTTTCAGTTCCATTCTTTTGTTTCCTTGAAGACCCTTCTCCTGGAGCTCAGCCGCCTTTTCACTCTGTTCTCAAGGTTGCTGCAGCTGTTGTCTCCGGACTTCCTTTTCCTGTCATCACAGAGATCCCCTTTACTCTTTCCTGCCTGGAATCTAATTTCCCGGATGCCCTTTTCCTCTCTTGGTTTAAGCCCTTGTTTTGGAAGAGCAATTCTAAGCAGCTTATTGAATAAAGGTTAAATGGAAGGTTAATTTTTGAGATGGTGCATGTCTAAAAATGTCTTTGTGCTACTCTCCTATTCAGTGAGTAGTTTGGCTGGCATAGAATTCTAGGTTGGAAATAATTTTTTTTTTCTATAATTTTGAAAGTATTGGTTCACTGTTTTCAAATTGTAGGGTTACTAAAGAGAAATCCAGTGCCTTCTTGATTCTTGATCCTTTGGCTATGTCCTGCTCAGAAAGCATGTAGAATCCCCCATTTTTTTGCAAGTGTTCTTATATTTCTCTATGATAATCTAGGTGTAAAGTTTTTGGCTCACAGTGCTGGGCACTTGGTAAGCTCTTTTACTGTGGCCAATCCGGTATTCCAGTTCTGGAGAATAATAATGTCACATTTCTTTAATAAAATCCTCACCTTAGTTTCCCTGTACTCTATTTGAGGTGCCCATTAGTTGGATATTGGAACTGCTGGAAGGGCCCTTCAATTTTCTTACCTTTTTTTTTGTATTATCTATCTCTCTCTTTTTTAAATTCTACTTTCAGGGGAGATTTTCACAACTTTATCTTTCCTTCTATTTTTTTTTTCCCTACTGTCATGTTTTTCATATCTAGAATTTTGTTTCTGAGTTTGTTCTTATTTATGACTGAAGCATTAAAAAAGATGTATAAACTCTCTACAAGTGGCTTGACTGGTGGCTTCACTTTATGGTAACTGGATGAAGACTAAGTTATTTTGATAGGGGAAGCCAAAGTTTCAATATATGATTTTTTTCTTTTGGGCTAATTAGCTTCCTCAAAGCACCGTCTTCTAATCTCTTCCCTTAAGGAAATGAAGCCTGTCTATCAGCATTTATTTCACAAACTTTCACTTAATTCCCATTTGTGTTTCTAGTAAAGCATCTTGGCTCCACCCTAAACTGGCCCAGTCTCTCTAGAAGTAAACCTCTAACATGGAATTTCTGAAGAATCTTTCAGTGTTAATCCCAAGGCTCCGTAATGCATGAGAATGCAGCCACTGCTTTTTGGAAGGAGTCAAGGATTTGGATCAGACTGCAGGGATTCGAGTCCTAGCTCCTCCTAGGCTTGTCCTGAGGATCAAGTAATATATAATATATTAGAAGCACTCTGCAAACTAAAAACCACTTCATGAGTCTTAGGTATTATTAATAAAAGTTGTGACATTTGGGCAGGTATTCAAAACGTTACTGAGGTTCCCAGGCTGCTCCAGTTGAAATGAAAAGTTAATTTAAATGAATCATGCAAAGATATTGATACAACTAAATTTGCTGCAAGATACTGGGGTTTTAAACTTTTTCCTAAAACCTTGAAATGCTGGTTAATTTAGTTCTCTCACCAACCAAATGACAAAGCAATTTGGGCATCTCAGTTGCCCTTTTAGGAAGATAGTTGCTCTGGCTTAAAACAAATGAAATTGCTTTTGGTCTTGATGTTTTGTGTGTTCAGCAAACCAAGTCAGGTTTATTGGGTAAGAAATTAAATGGATTAGTGAATGAGGTTTCCTTTTGAATCTAGTTCATTCTGAAAAGTAAATTTCCACAATATATAATCATGTCTTAAAGCCCTGAATTCTGTCTAAAGACCACAATAAGGAAGAACAATGATCAAATTTAATAATTATATTACTATTCCTATGCTTGATAAATAAATTTCATTTAAATGAGAGCAATTGCTTTTTAAATTAGTAGATTCTACTTTGATTAATGAAGCTATGATTAGATTTTTTTAAAGGTATTCTTGAATGTTTCAAGCCTTGCATTTTGTATTCTTTTTTGTTAAGAATAACATATAAGTTGGTGTTTTAAGTGAAAGGAAAATTCATGATTTCACACCATCGTTGCCTACATCTGTACAAATTCAAGTACTGATCACAATATATGTTAGATGACCCAGTTCCATAAAATAAAATACTAGACCTCCAAGCAAAACTGTTCAATCAGTCTCTTCTCCACCTTTTATGAGTTACATGTAAAGGAGGCCTTGCCTTGTTTCGGCTGTGGACATATAAATGTCTCTGCTACATTGATTTGTTGCAGGAATAGCAATTTATTTTCAAGTTCAACTGGAAATGGCTCTTGCACAATTTAGTAGTTGATAATGATAACTTCAGTTAGATCAGGAAAGTTCCTGCTGTTTTTCTCTATATTTGTCTTGTGCAATATGGTAGCCAATAGGCACTTATAGCTGTTGAATACTTGAGAAGTCACTAGCATCAGTGATGAACTGAATTTTTAATTAATTTAAATTTCAATAGCTACCGACAGCTAGTGGTTAACTGTATTGGGCAACACAGCTCTGTATCATCATCACTGATATATGCGTGAGAAATTCCTCAAAGGGCTCGCTTTCTAACAGAACAGCTGATATTCTGAGAGGTTCTTTTTGTGTAAGATGTATTATTGGTTCCATATGCAGACAGGGCTTGCTGCCCAGATGGATGCAAGGGACCCATGGGATAGCTTCTGCATTCACAGGTTGAAAAACATTGTTTTAGAGTGAAGGGAAATTAAAAAATAAGAAGAGTAAGGAGAAAAATTAATTAGAAGTATGGAAATATTGCATCACCAGTTAAGCAGCGCTAAAGGATGAAAGGTTATGAATTCGGGGTCTCAGGGTATTTTGTGTGTGTCCTAAAGCGTGTGACTCCTTTTATTGTTTGGAGTCAGATCTTACGCTCCTAGTACTTAGGGATCTTTTTGTTTAAGAAAGTAAAGCTTACTTTCTCTTTAGTGCTCTTTTAAAACCTGAAAATACAAAAAGCAAGCAAACAAACAAACAAAAAATAGAAAATCTCAATGGCTTGAATAGGAACTCATCCAATGGTCCATCGTCTCATCAATAATTGTGGAATAGCTTGATTTAAAAATTAATGTCCTCATTTAGTGATTAGATACAAACAGATCTCCTTCAGGATATAACAGAGCCGCACGCCCCCCTCCTCTCCCTAGCTTTGTTTCTGTTGGAGTCACTGCGTATCACAGCCACAGGTAAAGGCTAAGGGTAGGGGTCACCGTGATTTTCTTCTACCAGTGCACCCACTCAAACCACTGAAAAGTCTAAATTAAAACAATGAGCTTGTTTCTACTGCACGAAGATGAGTCTCTTAGCGACTTGAAGCCACCCCAAGCTTCTCCAGTTTAGAAGTTCTGGAGCTTCCACTGCCTGGTTCCATGATGGAAGAAACTTTAGATTTCTTGTTTATAATTAAATGCCAACTCCATGTTATAGATCTAGCAAAAATTATTATTTTTTTTTTTTGTGATTCTTAACCTGGATCTAAAATGGTTCCACTCCCAAAAGATACTGATGGCAAAAGGAGAAGCATTCCTTTTAGCACTGAAACAAATCCTGAGTTACTGAAAAGAAAATGAAATGCTAAATAACTACCTATCTATTATGAGCTACCTTCAAATAATATGCTTATTGTTTCATATTCTCAAACACCGATGTGTTCCACGGTCCCAAGAGCTCTTAGTATAACTATTTCAAGTTATTGCCCTAGATAGCATTAAAAGCAATTTCACAGGTACTAAACCTTGACATTCTAAACAAATATGTTGTTCTTTAGGAACAATGCCCTGCTCTGCTCCATCACTTAATGATCAATTATGTTCCACCAAGTAATTCATAAGACATATTAGGTCATTCCAGGAGCAACACAGCTGCTAGCCTCTGCATGGCTTCGCTGGCACAGTTAATTAACCTGAACAATGCACGGACCATTTGCTGAATAGATATGTTTTTCTATTTAGGAGAGGGTGAACACCTGCCCAAATCCAAGACTGCACATTAAGTTCTTACTTCATTTTTAAAAAAGAACAAAACAGTAGCTCTAGCAAGCAATGAAGCACAGAGATTGGGAAATGACCCAACAATCACGTATAGAGACAGATGTTGCCATCCTCCTATTACATTGACATTTACCTGAATGAGGTTGGCGGCTGGGTTTCTTCTTTTCTCAAAGTGTTTCTGGCGATGCTGTTCTTGTACTTTTAATGCAAAGCCTGAGCCAAGAATGCCCTGGAACAAAATACAAAAAAAAAAAATAGTACTTTAAAAAAATTTCGAAAGCATTGTTAAATAACACAAATATTAAAAAAAAAAACGCCACTAAAAGGAGTCTGAGAGAAGAAATACAGTATGTAATCTGTCCATGAACATGTTATTTATTAAAACAAACACTATTACAATACCATCAGCTAAGTTGTTGGACAATATTGCCATACATATAACAACCTGTTTTTTTTGGAAATCAACTAGGGAGCCTCATTTGTTATCTTTTGTGATATAGTAAGAGGCATTATAATTACAAATAAAAATCACAATAAATTTGTGTGTATGTGTGTGTGTGTGTGTGGCATTCTTTGTGACATTATTTTATGCCTAAATTAGAGCGAATAGTCTTATCTAGTGACTGAATGTAGAAGCCATGAGTTCCATCTTTGGACAGAACTGGGTTTTATATTTAGGGGAGTTAAAGTCTCACTGCTGGCTGGGTGCGGTGGCTCATGCCTGTAATCCTGACTATATCTGGGAGGCTGAGGTGGGAGGATTGCTTGAGGTCAGGAGTTCAAGACCAGCCTGAGCAACAGCGAGACCTTGACTACACAATAAATAGAAAAAATTCGCCAGGCATGGTGGCATGCACCTGTAGTCCCAGCTACTAAGGAGACTAAGGCAGGAGGATCACTTAAGCCTAGGAGTTTGAGGTTGCAGTGAGCTATGATGATGCCACTGCACTCTACTCTAGCTGGGTTGACAGAGTGAGACTGTCTCAAAAAAAAAAAAAAAAAAAGTATCACTGCTGTGGACATAGGAGTACTTCTTGCTCTTTGATGAAACTCTGAAATTTTATATTCACTATCCATGAAATGGAAGAGGGGAAGTGGGGAGAGTGTTTAAATTCTGTCCCAGCTCTGGTTCTTCATGATACTATCATTCTACTCCTAGCAAAGAAAAGTAAAAGGGAGAGGGGGACAGTTATCTAGATGAGACAGACACTCAGTTTTGAAAATGGTTTTTCCATTTTGCCTGTTTGTACAATAAAGACAAGAGCGTGGGTCATTGCAGAGTACGTTTCGATTTTTCTGTTTTAATTTCACACTTTTAGCATTCCTTAGTTTTTGGTTTTGGCTCACCTATTCAGATTTGGGGGTTAGTAAGATTAGTATCCCCCCTATGTTTACATTAGTTTTTTGGCTAGTTTGCCTTCCTTCTGCTTATCATCTTGATCTGCCAAAATTCTGGTTCTTTGATGTCCTCCTCTCTTTTCAGTTTGCTATGGTCTAGTATTTGTGAAACTGAGAAGCTTTGTCTCAGCCTTGGGTTGCTTTCAGAGCTTACTAAATGCAGTCTCTGGGCTTCGTCTGTAACTCTTGACTATATTGGCATGGGACTTGGAGCTCTCCTGCTTTCAATTCTACAGATTTTAATTGCTAGCTATAAATTATTAGCTTTTTATTAAACTTTAAGGAGTTCAACCCTTAGGTTAGAGATGGACATTTTATAAGCCCTAAGTCAGTATTTGCCACAGGTAAGGTATGGTTGTTTTTCTTTTCTTTATATTTTTCAAGTAGATCAAAGACGGTATAGGCTGCCTGGAGAGGTGGTGGGCTTTTCATCTCTGGGAGGTGTTAAGTCTCAGCTGGATAACAACTTGGCTGAGATATTTTTGGGCTCTTGATAGCCTTTAACCTTCCTTTTTATCTTGAGATTCCACAATTCTGAGTACATCTGTGACAATAACCAGACAATAAGTAATGCAATCATGTTTAAAAGACACAATTATACAATAATACTATTTGCTATTAATGAGAAATGATCTACTCCATTATTAGTTAAAATAAATGGCTGTACCATGAAATTAGAAATTACGTCATGGGTTCTGTTTTCCATCTCTCTTTTTTACTGCCTGCCTCACACTAAGATCTCTATCTCATATAGGTTGTAATTGCACAAACAAAGCTTTATAAAAACCTGGTCTTTCTAGTCTGGTTTGTAGATTTAAATAAAATTTTACTCCTTTTAGAGGTTATGAGAAAATGGCCTTCCATTTCCAAACCCAGATCAACTCCAGTCATTTGTAGCTCCTAATTTTTTTTCTGCTATTTAAGATCATTTAGGAAAAGTTGATTTATTTTTCTTTTAAAGTCATTTTTTTATGAAGAAAACATGAAAGAGAAGATGAAACCTTCTAATTTCCAGCATATATTTATAAAATGTGTCTTAGGTACATACAGTGGTAAATCCCCTTTGGAAAATGAAGACAGGCTCTACACAGGCACAAATTTAACATCTGCCAAACAAACTAAAATGTGCTGAAAATCACATTGGTATTGCTTAGAAATATTTGTTAGTAGATGGCAATGTTTTCTACATATCTCTTGCACCAGACTGTACATTACTAAGTAATGTACAGTTATTAAACCAGGTCTGTTCCCTGTCTCATTATGGATCCATTCCAATTTTCTTCCACCTCTCTCTTAGCGCACAGCTCAGTGCACTGAAATAGAAGTCTGTTAAAATAAGGCCTACTGTGATATATGTATATATATACACGCAAAACATGGCTTACTCTTTGAACACAAGTGCCATCCCTCCAGACAGTTGACATCAATAGATGCAAATGCTTAGAAATTGAGTTTTGTTTTTGATTCATTTTCTAAGATAACAGAACTTAAATTTTTAGATTTCAGTTTTGGTACTATGCCGAGAAGTGCTACATAACAACAGGGTTTAACCTCCCCATGATAGTCCACAAGTTTTGTTTTAAGGCCTGGGTTTTGCTATGCTGCATGAAGCCAGCTTCCAGAGGTGGGCTGACACCAGTGCCAATTGTCCTCAGGTCTTTACACATTTTGAACACTTAACGTCTGCTTGCTTCTTACAGATATTCTTTCTCCTCCCTTGCTTTTAGTTTTTTGCCATTTCTTCCTGCTGTAGTATTTGTTCTATTAGTCTCCATCTACATTAGCTGTTTATAACCTTCAAAGGATTGTGAAACTATATAGGTCAGTTTATCAGAATTTTCTCTGAATGAAGACTAGGTTATGAATTAGGTCCCAAGTGGCTCTCTAATGAGGACAGAACATATACTCTTGGTCTATTTTAACAACCCTGAGGTTGCCTACTTCCTTGTTCATAGTTTTGCACGGAATCAGAGAGGTTGCCATATATGTGGCCTTAGGGTAAACATAAACACAAAAGCAGCACATATTTTGTGCCATTATTTTTTGAGGAAAACCCAAGACTGCATTTTATTGTTTCTAAGGGTTTTTTCCTATAAGGAACATAATTATTGAATGAACTTCTCTATTCTGAATCGTTGAGATTGCCAGATGAAGTTAGCTTGGATAAATAAGATGTTTTTTGACTCTTGTTGATTTCATCATTTTGCACCAGAAAACATGTATTTCTAGATTCATACAGGTAAAGGAAAGTAACATTTATTGAGTGTCTTCTTTATGGCAAACACTTGACTTAAATTATTACACTGGTCTTCACAAAATTTCCCTGGGCTCAATAATTCCTCCTCCATTATATTAATGAAGAAACATACTCAGGGTCACTGGGCTGAATTGCGTCCTTCCAAAATTCATATGTTGGAGTCCTAATCCCCCAAATCTCAGAATGTGACCTTATTTGAAAGTAGAGTTCTTGCAGAGGTAATCAAGTTAAAATGATGCTATTAGGGTGGGGACCCTAATCCAATACGACTGGTGCCCTTATATGAAGAGGAAATTTGGACACAGATGATGCGATGACACAGGAAGAAGATGGCCATCTATAAGCCATGGAGGGAGGCCTGGAACACACCCTTCTCTCATGGCTCTCAGAAGGAGCTAACCTTGCCAACACTCTGATTTTGGACTTCTAGCCCCCAGAACTTGAGACAACAAGTTTCTGTTTTTCAAGCCACTTAGTCTGTGGTGCCTTGTCCAGGCCACTCTAGCAAACAAATGCAGTCATGTAGTTAGTACACAAAGACAGAATGTAAACTGAGGTCTGGGGCCACATGTGGTCTTGTCAGTTTCTTTTCTGTGGTTTTGAGAGGTCTGAATTAGAACCAGCTGGTCAATCTGGAGTTGGGGACTGGCTGTGGGAAGCACAAGAGTGTCTTCTGCACTCATTAACAGGCAGAGGAGCCCCCTGAGCTAAAAGCTCCTCCCCGCTCCCTTGGCCTCCTTTGGAGAGGTGCTGGGGGTCTCTGATGGGCAGAGGCTGTGGGCAGCATCCCCTTGTGCCTGGAGCAAGACTGGAGCTATTTCCTCAAGCATGACCACAGCCACCACCTTGACACTCCTTTTCACTAGTTCCCCCCACTGTCACCCCAGGTGGAGTGAACAAAAGGGAAAACTTGGGGTTGGGAGCAAATGGTAACACTTGGAACAACTGCCTTTAAAGAAACAAGAGGATAAAATGATCCGAAAGGCAAGCTTCATCCATGAAGGAGAAAATAATCAGAAGCTTGCGGGGAGAGAAATGTACTCTTTATTCTGATAAGATGCAGAAATTGCTCATTAAGAAAAATCGATGATGATAAAACAAAGAATAAATCATCTAACACTTTAAAAACCCTTTAAGGTCATATGTTTTTCACTTAACTACATCCGAAGAGAAATATACTCTCTACTTGTGCACATTCATCTTTTCAGTGGCACACATTATAAACCACATTGGAGGGTTCAGTTTAAAAAGAAGATAGCTTTAAATCTTTTTTTGAGACAGAGTCTCACTTTGTTGCCCAGGCTAGAGTGAGTGCCGTGGCATCAGCCTAGCTTACAGCAACCTCAATCTCCTGGGCTAAAGCAATCCTCCTGCCTCAGTCTTCTGAGTAGCTGGGACTACAGGCATGCGCCACCATGCTTGGCTAATTTTTTCTATATATATTAGTTGGCCAATTAATTTCTTTCTATTTATGGTAGAGATGGGGTCTTGCTCTTGCTCAGGCTGGTTTCAAACTCCTGACCTTGAGCAATCCGCCTGCCTCAGCCTCCTAGAGTGCTAGGATTACAGGCGTGAGCCACCACGCCTGGCCGATAGCTTTAAATCTTTACAAATGGTTTAAATGTGTTAGTTGCATATCGACTAAAAGATGATGCCATCTGAATTATTATTTGGTCCTAAAGACCTAGCTGATATTGAAGTCTCAGGTTAAGTGTTTCCAAGGGAAGACCATATTTTGTAAATTATCCAAGTAGATACATTTAGAAAAGTCAACATTGTATCAGAAAAATTACATTTGTGAACAATACAGATATGTTCTCAAGCATACCAGTATGTGAGTGCTCACACTAATCAACCTCTCAGACCTAATTTAAACTGCTTTATTGTTGCAGGAGATACTCACGGCAGGAAGTGCAAAGAACGAAATGCCAAGGAGTGCAAAGCCTGCAGAAAGCAATCTTCCCAGCCAAGTCAAGGGAGTTTTGTCTCCATAGCCAATAGTAGTCAATGTAATCTAAAAACACAATAAATAGAACACGCAGCTTAAGTACTTGAGAGGAACATTAGGACTCATGAACAGGAGGCAACGCAACGTTTCCACTAAATCATTATTCAACAAGACTTGTTGGCGCATTTTATTACTGAGCTTTAATTTTCCGTGACGCATAACAGAACTTCTCTTTGTTTAAGGAAGGGAATAACCTACATACTTGTTCCTCCCTTATAACACAGTTTTCCATCTTTTCTAAGTGCATTCAAAGGAAGGTTATTTAAGTAAGTGGATAACCATCAGTGATACAGAAACGATAGCGCCGTGGATTTAGGACTGGATCAGTACACAGAGCAATAATTTATGCTAGTTAAGGCCGTCCCTTCATTAGCTTGGCAGTCATTTCCTGAAGGTCTGGTGTGTACAAGGTATGTGTTATGATTTGTAGTGGAACAAAAATGAGACGTACATAGCGCTTGTCCTTAGATATTTACTGCCTGCTAAGGGAGACATGCCACACACAAATAATTAAAACACAAAATAGGGCGAGACAGGTTTTATGGTGGGAGCACAAATAATCTGCTACGGGAATTCAAGGAACAGATTGATCATTACAAGCTTGCGGGGCTGAGGAGGCTTTATTGGAAAGATGTCATCATACCTGGGCTTTGAAGGAGGGGTAACATTTGTGAGGCAGAAATAATAAAGAGGGTGGTCTAGAGAGGGGAAACAGGTGACCAGCTGCACAGCAGTGAGAACAAATAGGGTAGCTTTTCTACAAAGTACTAGTTGTTGAGACGGACCCAAGCATGTTGCATTTGAAAAGGATTAGTGACTTTTCAATTTCTTTCAATAGCGTTTTATGGTTTTCAGTGTATAGTGTACATTTTTTTCAGTGTATATGGTATATATATATATATTTGTAGCTATTGTAAATGGAATTGTTCTCTTGACTTCTTTTTCTGAAATCTTTTTAGTGTATAGAAGTACTATTGATTTTTGTGTGTGATTTTTGTATCTTGCGACTTTACTGAATTAGTTTGAGTTCTAGCCATTTTTTTTTGGTGGAATTTTTAAGGTTTCCTATGTATTAAATATAAGATCTTGTTGTCATCAAACAGTGACAATTTCATTTCTTCCTTTCCTATTTGGATGCCTTATTTTATTTTATTTTTTTTAATTTTTTTTTTTTTGAGACAGAGTCTCGCTTTCTTGCCTAGGCTAGAGTGAGTGCCGTGGCGTCAGCCTAGCTCACAGCAACCTCAAACTCCTGGGCTCAAGCGATCCTCCTGCCTCAGCCTCCCGAGTAGCTGGGACTACAGGCACAAGCCACCATGCCTGGCTGATTTTTATATTAGTTGGCCAATTAATTTCTTTCTATTTTTATGGTAGAGACAGGGTCTCGGCTGGTTTCGAACTCCTGACCTTGAGCAATCCGCCCGCCTCGGCCTCCCAGAGTGCTAGGATTACAGGCGTGAGCCACCGCGCCCGGCCTTGGATGCCTTTTATTTCTTTCTCTTGCCTAACTGCTCTGGCAAGGACTTGCAAAACTATATTGAATGTAAGTGGTGAAAGTGGGCATCCTTGTTTTGTTCTGGGTCTTAGAAGAAAGGATTTCAATTTTTCAGTGTTGAGTATAATGTTAGCTGTGGGCTTATCACACATGGTCTTTGTTGTATTGAGGTACATCCCTTCTATACCAACTTTGTTGAAAATTTTTGTCATGAAAGGATGATAAAATTTGGGCAGATGCCTTTTCTGCAAGAAATGAGATAATCTGAAATAAAGCAGGCACAGAAAGACAAAAACCGCATGTTCTTAGTTATATGTGGAATCTAAATTAATAGAACTCATAGAAGCAGAGAGGCTGGGGGCTGGGGGAGAATGGGGAGATGATGGTCAAAGGACACAAAGCCTCAGACAGGAGGAATATGTTTTTTCCTTTTTGAGATCTATTGCACAGAGTGGTGAATATAGTTAGCAACAGTGGTATTGTAGATTGCAAAATCACTGAGTAAATTTTAAATGTTCTCAACACAAAAAATGACAAGTACTTGAGGTGATGGATATGTTAATTAGCTTGATTTAATTATTCCCATTGTATTCATAAATCATAACATCACTTTGTGCCCCATAAATATGTAGGCCTATAATCTGTCCATTTACAATAAAAAAAGATGAGGATTAGTGGAAGAGGAGGTGAATTAGATATGCCAAGGCCAAGCCAGGGAATGTCTTTGTTTTTTTTTTTTTTTTTTTTCCAGGGGATGTCTTTGAATGTTACGTCTCTCCCATGATCAAACAGTTCCAGGGGCTTCCCATGTTCCTTAGAGCAAAGTCCCAGCTCCTCTCCATCGTCTACAAGGTTCTGTGTGATTGAGCCTCGGCCTACTACTCAGACACGGTTTTCCGCCATGTTCTTTCTCATCCTGCTCGGCCACACCTGCCTTGCTGTTCTTGGACACACCAAGCTCTTTCTCGCTTCAGGCCCCTTTCTCTTACAGTGGTGGTTTGTAGGGGAGAGTAGAATGTTGTGAACTCTGAGACAGCACCTTGAGTCCCTCTAGAGGTGTGCAAAGACACTGCCCACCTTCTCTCTGCACTTCTAGGATGACCACATTTTACTGAGAGCAGGGGACTTGAATAGCCAGAAGCTGAACCTCTAGATTCAACACTTTCTTTTACTCAGATTACAGAGGAGCTTGGGAAATTTCTTGGTTGAAAAGCTTTGGGGCTTTTTGTTGCCAGGTGAGATTTGGGAAGGATCTGGCAGTAGGGTGGCAGTTTTGTTTCCCTCCATGACAGAGAAGAGTTTCCATTATTTGTTGCCTGGAAAGTGAATCATTTCGCTGTTGTGGATGGGAAGCGGATGAATGGGTTTCATGATGTAAACAGGAAGGTAGTACCATATATAAAATTATAAAGTCTCTAAGGTACTTTTACAATAAAAAGATGTGAGTCTTCTCCAGGACTTCACACTGGCCCGTCTGTTTGATCTGGCTGCAGACTTTCTAAGGCAAAGACCAGCTTCATTTGATAAAACCATCTGTAGATGAGCCCTGCATAGATATTCATTGATTTTTCTCGACTCTCAGGCCAAGCTGCCCTTGAAGTACCAGCGAGTGTCCTTGGAACGGTACAACTATATTATGTTTCTTTTCTTTTTGCCAGCACTCAGAAGGCCCTGCTAATGTTTATCAGCTGATCCTTTGTACATGAACTGAGCAGTGCTCTCAGTGCCTAGTCTCCCATGCCTGTGCTAAACAATAAACCCATTTCTGCCTTCTAGAAATCTCCTGAGTGTTTTCAGTGGCTGAACCCAGTAATGATTAGTTTCATTTAGGTTCAGAATCGGAGAAAAGGAGGTCCACATAGAACCCAAAGACACAAGCTCTCCAGGATACTCCGGGAGATCCTAGAACAACAGCTTGTTTCAGAGCACCTTGAAAGGCTGCATATATGATCTTTGGGGCCTTGGAGGAAATCGCACCTAGACGTCCCAGTTGAATTGGGTTATGAGGCAGTTGATTCATTTTCTGGAAAAAACTCTTCACAGATCTCCAAGAACCCAGCAGCATCCTGATGGCATGGTGTGGCAAGACGACTTATTCTATTGTATCTCATCGTCTCTGTATTGCAGCTGCTCCTACACTGAGTATCTTGGTGATTCCCAGTCCGAAGGGCAGGTGGTGATTATAAATTACAGTATACAGTTAATATAGTGACAAGGAATGAATGGACTTAAAAAGCCAGAGTTGATTTGGGAAAAAGTAGATGTAGTAACGGAGCACTGTTATAATGAAAAACAAATAAACAAATAATGCACCTCCTTGGAAATAGCACTCTCTTTAGATCGGGAATCCAACATTAAATAAATAATATAGCTCCTCCTTTGAAGATACCTTCACCACGTTGTGTTGTGTAATTCTTTGCCAGTTCTACATGTGCACATGGCATTGGGGTGCAAGGGTTGAGCCCAGTAGGTGATGGTGCTGGAATCAAACCCAGGGTCTCTCTGTTCATCTGGGGTGAACCATGTGGATGCTTCATGACTACATACAGGCTGGGTGGGTGGAGATGACAGGGCTTGGGTGGGCTGAGGATGACAGAAAGAACTAAAGTGTGGTCGGTTAATGGGTTCTCTTTGTACTAATATATTTTTGATACTTCCTGAGTCAAGGCATTTAATTCTCTTCTAATATATACAGTGTTAAAAGTGAATCACAATACATCAGACTTTTACTCTGCATAGAAAATGTGTTTCAAAGGAATTAGTTGAACTATAAAGCAGTTGAATCAATGTAAAATAAATGTTCTTATGAAAGAGTCCCGTTATTCTTTGTAGGTGAGATGGTGTTCTGATATTATATATTAATGCATGAGAAGACACAAAGAAGCCTTCTTAATGGAAATTTGACTAGAGCAGATAATCAAAAAGACATATATATTACATATATATGTTACATATTTTATTTTAACCTAAAAGACATAAATGTATTAATACATTCATTTCCTAATATTTCCAATGAAGGATGTATTCTGCAATTGGAGTTTTGTCTCATCTATTTGCATAAACCTCACCCATAATGCATCATTTATTGTTTTAATTTTAGTGTTTTTAAAAAATTTGTTTTGAGTGGACTTGACTTTTGTAGGAGCCATCTGAGTACAGAGTCCTAGATATTTAGGGTTTTTTCCCCATATAATTGTGTGTCCACCCCTGATTTCAAAATATTTTTAGCATTTTAGTATATTTAGTATTTTGCATTTATTGAGCTTTTCTAAAGCATTCTATTTTCATAAAACCATCCATCTTTCTTTCTGTACCATATGTCATCAGTTTATGCAATAATATAAAATTAAACCTTGCCATTATAATTACAAATACAACTGGCATAAAAAGGTTTGGGGATGAACACACTGACTCTTTGCAAGCATTCAAACAACGTTAAGAACAGAATTCTGTGGATTCTAAAGAGCATTCACTGTGCTGCCGGCCTCAATTGGCATGTTTTACAGGAGTG